AAGCCAGTGAAGCAGCCAATTTTCCTGATTGCAGCATCCTGCATCACCTGTAAACCAGACCTGATGAGGAGCGGAGGCAAGGCAGGTGACCTGGAGCTGCTCTGTCTGCTGCAGACACTGGTGAAATGCTGTGGAAACTTCAGCTCTGCTTTTGGACAGGGGGCTGGGTCTGGTTTTGGTTGTTCCCCTGCCCTAGGTTGTGTTTCTACCAGCCAGCTGGGATCTCCTCCCTTTGAAGGCCAGTTTACTTTCTGGTGAGCATCAGGGTATTGGTTTCAAAAATGCATTTTCTAATTGTTTATATAATGTATATACATTATATAATATATAATGTATATGTAGTGTATATATGCTATTTGAAAAGGTGGTTTCATTACTGGCACCGTAGTGAAAGACAGTGTGAGGTAGCTCCATGATGGGCATCACGACCACCGCTGGCTATCTGCAGGGCAGCAGAGATGCATGAGCCCCTTCCCACCACAGCCTCTCCAGACACACAAATGAGGTGGAGGTGGAAACATCCTCACCATGAGCTGCCTTCAGGTGGGCAATCAGCAGTTGGCTACAGGTAAGCCTGCACCTTGGTTGTGGGGCATGGAAGGGCCCTAAAAAGCTGGTAGTAACCTGTTTTCCTGCTGTTGAAAATTTCATATGGACATTTAACTTTGTACGCTGTCTTTCTCAGCTCTGGCTGCTCCTGATGCAGTCCGTGGTTGTGGAGCCAGCATCCGACTCCTGTCTTCAGCAGGTGACAGCAGAGCTAAATTCTTTACAACAGGACCCTAGTACCCAGCTTTACCTTCTTACAAACTGGGCATTAATGATAACCTTTCACCTCTAGCTGATCCAAATAGATCTGGAGTCCTGACAGAGTTATCTGGGCAAAGCTTCAAAACCGATGAGGTTATCTGGTGAATGTTAAATGCCATTCCCAGTTAAAATACAGCCTCAGCGTCTCCTCAGCCCACGAGTGATGCAGGAGTTGGATGCATGCAGGCAGACTAATGCTCAAGGTTACTGTGTTACCCAGTGAGCTGTTGCCTTAATTTTCGGCTGATGGCACTTTATGTGCAAGGGACAGCAAAGAACTGAACCAAGTGCCGAATGCAGGGAGACTGAGTGTGCCAGCTGTGCAGGAGGTAGGAAAGGTAAGAAGTCACAGCCCATCTAAACAGGAAAAGCAGGGCTGGAGCTTCCCTCAGGAGAGTGGCTTCAGGTGGCAGGCAACTCATCTACCTGATTAAAAATGTATTTTTTATAATATGAAAGCTCTAAGCAGCAAGGCCCACTATTAGAGATTGACGGGTGGGAGTGGATGAGCCAAGGGAGACTCTATGAGTTCAGCTGCCAGTGTAAAAACTATTGTGGGTTTAAGAAAAAGTAAAAAATGAAAATATAATCTGTGGCTAAAAGCCAGAGTATGTTTTCTGAAACCCTTTGGTATTAGGAAAGGTTACTACAGAGCAGCTGGCCTGGGGGCAGCATGGGAATGCACTGGTGCAACCAAAGACAGTATTTGCATCTGTTTATATTCATGTCACAGTGTGGATGCTTGATAGCCTTCCTGCTAAACCTTGCTCAATAGCCCATTTGGAAAACCTATGGATCAACTTTATTTTTAAAAGTTTGACATAGCACTCTGCAGTGGGAAAGTGATTGAAAAAGGTGGCCAAAGTGCTATTTCCTGTATTTATTTATTTTTCTTTTCTTTCTGTACCTTCTTGTCTGCTGTATCATCAGGTTCAGCTACCAGCTCTGAAACCGTCACAATTTGTTCTACCTAATTGCCTATCATAAAGACTACAGAATACAAATAATAACTATTGCTTATGGTACTTTGGCACTGAAGAGCTTGTTCTGTTGGGTTGCTGCAGTAGGAAATTTTGGATAATAACCAAAAATAAGTGTATTTTCTTGGATCAACAGCTTCTCTGCAGACCTGCTTCAAGGAGGGCACATTTTAGGGTGACTTTTCAAAGGTCAATACCTTCCTGTAAAACATTTTGACCGCTATCACCTTGCTTACCCACTATCTTTACATAATGATGAATGACTTGGAGGTTTGGTCTTGTCTCTGCTGTGTGGATGCTGCATTTGGAGGTGGCCAAAGCCCTGCAACGCCCCAAAAAGTTGCGTTGAGCCGTGGTAACATTTGGCCAACCCCCGTTATTTCCCTTCTCAGTTAATAACGTAAAAATAGCAGCTGCTTCCTCACTTCCAGATATTTAATTACTTTCGTTATTCTGACACGATGTGTGTATATAGAAACCTATAGAAATTTGGCATGGCAGGGTATGTGCTTCATATGTGCTCTCTGGGACTTAACCAAGGGGACAGTGAGAACTGGGAAGCACGAACTATTTTCTTGACCCGGTTCAGGCCATCCCCAGAAGTTGGCTTAGAGGGGGCCGGGCGGGTGCATCTGCCCGCCCCCTCTAGACATTACACCTTGCACACTACCCGGTATTAATCCAGACTAACTCCCTCCCTGTAGCAAATCTCCGGGGCCAGATAATCCCGTTGCAAGCTGTCCCATCCACCCCCGGAGGGGCTTGAATTAGGTCAGCCGGGTTTATATTTGCATTTTATTTATTTATCTATTTTTTTCCTGGTTACACGCACATCACCCCCTGACCTCCCCTCCCCATTCCCCATCCCCCAAGCCCTGAAGGAGGCGGGG